ATCTATCTATCTATCTATCTATCTATCTATCTATCTATCTATCTATCTATCTATCTAATCCATCATCTATCAGTATATCTATCATCTATCTATCTATCTATCTATCTATCTATCTATCTATCTATCTATCTATCTATCTATCTAATCCATCATCTATCAGTATATCTATTATCTATCTATCTATCTATCTATCTATCTATCTATCTATCTATCTATCTATCTATCTATCTAATCCATCATCTATCAGTATATCTATCATCTATCTATCTATCTATCTATCTATCTATCTATCTATCTATCTATCTATCTATCTATCATCTTCCATTCTATATCAGTCTCATCTCACTCCTTCTCTTTCCCACAACCTCTGGAGGGAAGCTGCTGTTCCACTGATCAATTAGCCGATGGGAGCCGGTGTTCAGAGGGAATACAGACCTAAGGGAATTGATGTTGATGAATCCAGTGGCATCCGAGGGTTCATAGCTCCCTTGAACATCCATGCTGAAGGAAAGGAAGAGAAAAGACGGGTCAGAACTGCAATATCAGGTTTAGAAAGCAGGATTTCACTCCGTGTAGTATCTTAAGCCAAGGTGGGGGCAGAAGTAGGCAACCACCATATATTCTGGAGTACGGTTAGTTCTCAATTTAGGATCACAGCTGGAAAAACAATTTCTACTGCTAAACAAGGCAGATGTTAAGTTGCCTAATTTTATGACCGTCCCCCACCTCCACTTTGGCCTGATTGTTAAGCAAGTCACCACAACTGTAAAGTGAATCACACAAAGAATCCGTCGACTTGACTAGGTGGCTCAATGGCTAAGACACCGAGTTTGTCGATCAGAAAGGTTGGCACTTCGGCGGTTTGAATCCTTAGTACAGGTGTCCTGCATGAGCAGGGGGTTGGACTAGATGACCTCCAAGGTCCCTCCCAACTCTGTTGACTGTTGACTGTTGATTGACTTGGCTTGCTGGAAGCCGACTGGTTGCAGAGTTGTGGCCACGTGAGCCGAGGATGCTGCAACCGTTGTCAACCCCTGCCAGCTCCCACCTGCCCAAATTTTCATCGCGTGACTGTGGAGACACTGAGATGGCCAAAAGTGTGAGGACAGGTCTAAATCACAGGGTTTTTTTTCCACAGGGCTGTTGTAGCTTTGAATGATGGCTGAACGTAACGACCGTTAAGTCAAGGATTATCTGTCATCTGGCATCTTCCCAGCCTCCTTTACCAGTTTGCAGAATTTGGCTTTCACCAGGATCTGGACCTGGTTAGACTTTGGAATAGAATAGAACAGCAGAGTCGGAAGGGACCCTGGAGGTCTTCTAGTCCAACCCCCTGCTTAGGCAGGAAACCCCACACCCCTTCAGACAAAGCTTTCTCCCAGCTTTCTGGAACCTGCCCCACTGGCTTTGCTCCTCCAAAGGACGCAAACGGGGAACCACTTGGACACGGCAACTGTCACAGTCGGTGGGCAAGCATCTGAATTTTAATCACGGATCTCTGAGGATGCTGCAATGGCCGTAAGGGTGAAAAAGGATCATACGTCACTTTTTTCAGTGCCTCTTGTGGCCCACTAGTGGCCAGTGCAGCTGGCAGCAGATTCGGACAATGGGGAGGTTGGGGAGGAAGATGGGCCAGTCCTGGAGTCTGGGGAAGGGTCAGATGAGGGCTCTGTGTCGGAGGCAGAGAGGGGACCAGGGATGTATGCCAGTTGTCAGCTGCCGAGAGAGAGCCGAGGTGGCGCAGTGGTTAGAGTGCAGCACTGCAGGCTACTTCAGCTGACTGCAGTTCAGCAGTTCGGCGGTTCAAATCTCACCGGCTCAGGGTTGACTCAGCCTTCCATCC